AGATCTGTACACATTCAGTTCAACTATTCATTTGTTCTTCCCAATGTTCAGATGTGGAACCCATGGGTATGAAGAGTGACTTTATTTAGAGTTTTCAGAACAAGGCAGGAGAACTTGGACTGGAGCTAGGATGAAGCCGATCAGTCACTTGCTTCGGGCACAAAATTTAAGAGGACATCAAATACTCAAGATACACAATATAATAATATTAGTGCAACATTTATTTTATCTTTAGGTACAGTGTCTTACTATGTTGCTCAAGTTGGTCTTGAACTCTTGGCCTCAAGCAATCTTCCCACCTCAGCCTCCCTAGTAACCAAACAGCCTGACCAATATATTTTTTAAATCAAAATTAATGCAAAAGATCAGGCATAGTGGCTCATGCCTGTAATCCCACCACTTTGGGAGGCCAAGATGGGAGGATGGCTTGAGCCCAGGAGTTCAAGACTAGCCTGGGCAACATAGCAAGACCCCATCTCTACAAAAAAGCTTTTTTTTTTTTTTTTGAGTTGGAGTCTCACTCTGTCGCCCAAACTGGAGTGCAATGGCCGCTCCCAGCCACCGCAGCCTCAACCTCCTGGGTTCCAGTGATCCTTCCTCCTCAGCCTTCTGAGTAGCCAGAATTACAGGCGCACGCTACCACGCCCGGCTAATTTGTTTTTTATTTATTGTAGAGATGAGGTCTCGCCTGCCCAGGCAGTTCCCGAACCCGCGGGCTCAGGCAATCCACTCACCTCAGCCTCCCAAAGGCGCGGGATTACAGGATTACAGGCTGAGCCACGGAACCCGGCAGCTTTTTTTTTTTTTTTTTTAATTAAAAAAAAAGCAAGAATCCAAATAAAGACAGGATGAGTAGCATTTCTGGTCTTTCCCTTTTACCTCAAGTGCCAACATGGCTTGGCTACACCCTGTCTTTATATGAAATTTTGTTACTCTGTTCATCATAGATTTTAAAACATACATTTCAATGATTAAAATACTGTTTATCTCGATAACTAAGTTTTTGACAATGCCTGAAATGCAACCAAGGCTAGTGCTTTCTTCTTTCATCCTGGCTCTGCTGGACACACAGGAGGTGCTCTCTAAATATTATGTTACACACAATAGCATTTTTACGCACAATACCTACGTAATATTATATAAAGCCTCCATCCAGTTGGTTCAGATTGCCTGTTTTGTTTTTTATTTTGTTTTAGTTTAGAAGGTTTCTCACTATGTTGCCTGTGCTGGTCTCGAATTCCTGGCCTCAAGCGATCCTCCAGTCTCGGCCTCCCCAGGTAGCCGCAATTACAGGCGCAAGCCACCATGCCTGGCTGGATTGACTCTTTAATGGGCTATGAGTATCTGAATGACGTTAATACCTCTGTGATTTCAGCTCTGAGTTTGTCATCTGGAACCAGTACCCCCGAGGTGGCTTACCCACAAAATTGAAACGTTAGAACCTCCTTGGAAAACTGTGGAAGAACGTACCCAGGGGCTTGGAGAGGACCAGAATGCTGGGACAGGCTTATCATATTTGACGTGCTCAACCCCCCTCTCCCTGCAAATTCCCAAATCAATACCTAGCTGAGAAAAGACTGATGATACCACGTGTGGGCAAGGATTAGGAGTCACTAGAACTTTCACAGGTGCCAGTCAGAAACATAAGGTAAGCCGGGCTCGTTGGCTCAGCCTGTAATCCCACGCCTTTGGGAGGCTGAGGTGAGTGGATTGCCTGAGCCCGTGGGTTTGAAACCCGCCTGGGCAGCGAGACCTCATCTCTACAATACATCAAAAAAATCAGCCAGGCGTGGTAGCACATACCTGTAATTCCGGCTACTTGGAATGCTGAGGTGGAAGGATTGCCGGAGCCTGGCAGGTCGAGGCTGCGGTGGCCAGGAGCGGCCACTGCACTCCGGTCTGGGCGACAGAGTGAGACTCCAACTCAAAAAACAAACAAAAAACAAGAAATGTAAGGTAGACACGGGAGCGCACATCTATAGTCCCAGCTACTCAGGAGGCGGAGGTCGGAGGATCACTTGAGCACAGATACATAGATAGATAGATAGATATGTATTTATATTTTGAGATGGAGGTCTCACTCTGATTGCAGAGCCACAGTCACAGCTCACAGAAGCTTGACCTCTTGGGCTCAGGTGATCTTCCCACCTCAACCTCCTGAGTAGCTAGAACTACCAGTGCCACCATGCCTGTCTAAATTTTTGACCCTTTTTTTTGTAGAGAGGACGTCTCACTATGCTGCCCAAGTTGGTCTTGAACTCCTGGGCTCAAGTGATCCTTCTACCTGGGCCTTCAAAAGTGCTGGAATTGGCCAGGCATGGTGGCTCACACCTACCATCCCAGTACTTCGGGAGGTGGAGACGAGAGGGTTGCCTGAGCTCGGGGGTTTAAGACTCGCCTGGGCAACTTGGTGAGACTTCATCTCTACAATAAATAAAAAATTAGCCAGGCGTGGTAGCATGCACCAGTAGTTCCAGCTACTTGGAAGGCTGAGGCGGAAGGATCGCCGGAGCCCAGCGGGTCGAGGCTGTGGTGGCCGGGAGCCACTGCACTCCAGCCTGGCTAATGGAGTGAGACTCCGACTCAAAAAAAGAAAAAAGAAAAAAAAATAAGTGCTGGGATTACAGGTGTGAGCTACCGCGCTCCCCCACTAAATAAATAAATAAGTATTTTTTAAACAAGAAAGAAACCGGTCAGGATCTACTAAAGCTCATGCGGTTCACCATTCCACTCCTAGGAACGAACTCCAGAGAAATGAAAACTCATGTTTCCCAAAAGCACTTTCACGGTACAAGCTGTATTGACAATGGCCAAGGACGAAATACTTGGTATCAACAGGTGAATGAAGAAACTATGCTGGCTACATTGTAGGGCAGCCACACGACGGAACACTGCTCAGAAGCAGAAAGGAAAGGGCTACGGATGCGCCCAGCAACACGGACGAGGCTCAAAAGCAGTTTGGTGAGCAAGGGGTCAGACACAAAAGACGATCTACTGCATGACTCCATGCGTATGACATTGAAGAAGAGACAAAACAGACGTCCAAACAGTGCAAAATGTCCTCCACCTGACTGGTGACAACTCCGAGAGTTCTGGGTTCAGCGCCCGGAGCGGGAGCCACACTTGGAAAGGGTGGGGCGCGCGCCACGAGCCAATCATCTCGCCTTCACTTGCCAGGACTAAACATGGCGGCGCCCACCCCGGGCGCCACCCAGACCACGTGACGACTCGCCGCCGGCGCCGGTCTCAGCTCACCCGGGCGCGCCTACGTTTAGATTGACCAATGGACCCTAGGCGTGAGGCACGCCCTCTTTTTCCCTCTCCACCAATAACCTCCCGACACCTCCCTCATGACCCAATCACCGCTTCCGCCCCTCTTGAGTGAAGAGGCTGCGGTCCAGTGAGCGGAGCCGCAGTCGGACGCAGAGGTAGGAAGCGCGGCGGCTCGTGTCGGTGCGCGCGAGGGAGAACCGGAGTCGGGTGGCTCTCCTCGCGGCACGCGGAGGCGAACGGGGAACCAGGTGAGCGGCGGGTCCGGGGCGCGGGGCTGCGGTGTAGGGACCTCTGGCCTAGGGGCGAGTGGGCGAGGGGAGACGTCGGGGGTTGAGGGGCGGAGCTGGAGGAGGGGGCGCGAGGCGGTTGGGGTGCCTGGCCCGCTCGGTGGCGGCCGTTGGGCAGCGGGACGCATGCGCGAGGGGCGGGCCGGCAGTTGGCGCGCGGGGTTCGGGCCGGCTTCCGGGAGGGGCTGTC